AGTGAACATAAACTCAAGGATTAACTTGAGAAATTATGAAATACATAGAACACTGTTGAAATACATGAACAGTATCTGATATATTTCAGAAAATAGCAGCGGACATACACACACGTTTTAAAGAAAGAAGGTTATACATAACAGTTGCTGAAAATGAAAAGAAGTTACCAACTAAAAAGAAACTGCTCCACCACTAAGTAAAATAAACTAAATGTAACTGCCACATTAAAGACTTGATCTCACACGCTAACAGGGACCATCAGGAAGGTCACGGTGTGATCACTGTAAAAGGCTTGGGCACACTAAAGAAAGATGCTATGAGATCATTGGGTATACTGTGAATTGGAAGCCTGGGATAGGCAAAACCAAGACAAATGGTGAGGCACAGAAGACTGGACGAGAGAAAGACCATGCCTTTGTAGCTAATGCAACACATGAGCCCACAGAGGAGTTATCAAATCAGTCTCCAGTTTTCGGGTTGAGCAAAGAGCAGTATGACCAACTCATCTCGCTTCTCGGGGGTAATACCATCCTTAATCACTCAGCCAACCACGCTGGTAAGGCACAAAACTCCTCTTTTCATTGGATCATTGACAGTGGGGCTTCAGCTCACATGACTCCACACCTATTTGCATTTACCAAAGCTAAACCTTATACCTCCCCTGTCCGTATACCCAATGGAACCTCTTTGGAGACATCACATGTGGGCAAAATAATTTTAACCAATGAAATCACTTTAGACAATGCCTTATGCGTCCCAAAATTCACCTGTAATCTTTTATCAATCAGTGAGATAACCAAACAACTTGGTTGTGTTGTGATCTTCTTTCCTAACTTTTTCATTTTTCAGGACCTTACCTCAAGGAAGCTGATTGGAGTGGGTAGGCTTCATGAAGGGATGTATTATTACAGTTTTGGACATGTTGTAGCAGCCAGTCAACTAAAACAAAAGCAGAGCACATCATATGAATTGTGGCATCAAAGACTTGGGCACATTTCTATTGAACGTTTATCCAAAATCCTTTCTCTTTGTTCTTGTTCTCCTCAAATAAAGCATGTTTGCGACATTTGCCATAGAGCCAAACAAACACGATTACCATTTCCTATTAGTAATAATACTTCAACTCATATATTTGCCTTACTTCATCGTGACATTTGGGGTAGATATGCCACTCCCTCCAATACAGGTGCTCATTATTTTTTGACTATAGTTGATGATTTCTCTCATTGCACATGGGTTTATCTTTTGAAATATAAATCTGAAGCTGCTTCATATTTGATAAATTTTTGTCAAATGATTGAAACTCAATTCCATACTCATGTCCAACAAATTCGCAGTGACAATGGAAAGGAATTTACTGAAGGGCTTATAAAAGATTTTTGTCTCAAAAAGGGTATTTTACAACAAACTTCTTGTGTGAACACACCACAACAAAATGGTGTCGTTGAGCGTAAGCATCGTCATTTGCTTGAGGTAGCTCGGGCACTTAGATTTCAAGCCAACTTACCTCTAAGTTTTTGGGGAGAGTGTGTTCTTACAGCCACATATTTGATTAATTTAACTCCCACACCAATTCTTTCAGGACTCACTTCCTTTGAAAAGTTGTTTAACAAACAACCCTGCTATGATTCTTTGAAAGTTTTTGGTTGCCTTTGTTATGCCCACAATCATTCCCAAAATCGTGGAAAGTTTGATTCCAAAGCATCTAAATGCATTTTTATAGGCTACCCTTTAGGAAAAAAAGGTTACAAATTATATGATTTGGAAACTCAACAAATATTTACTTCTAGAGATGTGCATTTTTATGAAGATATTTTTCCTTATCAGTCTAAAGAAAATGAGCACCGTCAAGGCAAATCTAATCTTACTGTCACAGTTCAGCCATTTGAAGACCCTTAACCAATGACAATTCCCATGACAAGTCTGAGGAGAGTGCTCACCAGCCTGAATCCATGGACCAGCCTAAGCCATTGGAGGAAACTCAAAATACACAGCCAACAATTGATTCACAACCTGCTACATACTTAGGAAACCAACTTGTGCAATCTTTAAGGCCACAATGAGAAAGACGTGCACCGCGGCATTTAGATGACTATGTTTGCAACATGTCACAATTTGTTGATCCTGATCAAGTCACACTCCAGTCGGCTAACTCAGGTACTCTTTATCCTCTTTCTAATCATTTGTCATACAATTCCTTTTCTCCTAATCAAAAAGCTTATTTAGCGGCCATCACCTCCTTAGATGAGCCAAAAACATTCACCCAGGCTGTCAAGAGTGAACATTGGCAAGAAGCTATGAGGAAGGAAATAACTGCTCTTGAGCAAAACGAAACTTGGACACTTGAAAGATTACCTCTGGGCAAGCGGGCCATAGACTCCAAATGGGTTTATAAAATCAAGTACAATCAAGATGGAATGGTAGAACGGTATAAGGCGAGACTGTGGCAAAGGGCTTTACTCAAATAGAAGGATCGGACTATCATGAAACATTTGCCCTTGTTGCCAAGTTAGTCACAGTTCGGGTTCTACTTGCTGTTGCTTCTATTAAGCATTGGGAACTTCACCAGTTAGACGTGAATAATTCCTTCTTGCAGGGAGATTTGCATGAGGAAGTTTATATGAAGATTCCACAAGGTTTTCTCACCAAAAATGAGCATAGAGTCTGCAAATTACACAAGTCCCTCTATGGACTTAAACAAGCTTCTCGAAATTGGTTTGAAAAGCTCACCAATTCACTACAAGCTGCTGGTTTCAAGCAATCTTATGCAGACTATTCTCTATTCACACCCACCAAAGGAAAGAGCTTTGTTGCTGTCTTGATCTATGTCAATGACATAATTATCATCGGAAATGATAGTACCAAAATCAAGGCATTGAAACAATACTTGCATACAAAATTCTCCATCAAGGACCTTGGGCCATTGAAATATGTTCTTGGAATAGAAGTGGCACGCACAAGTGAAGGGATTGTTTTAAGCCAGAGAAAGTATGCTCTAGACATCCTAACAGAGACAGGGATGATTGGAGCCAAGCCAAGTCTATTTCCTATGGAGCAACACCACAGTTTAGCAATTGCTTCAAGCCCTCCTGCTTCGGATCCTTCACAATACAGGCGATTAGTGGGCAGACTACTTTACTTAACCATTACAAGACCAGATTTGAGTTATTTAATTGGTATATTGAGTCAATTCATGCAAGAACCAAAGCAAGAACATTTTGATGCAGCCATGAGAGTGCTCAGATATGTGAAGTCTTCTCCAGGTTAGGGAATACTCCTTTCATCTTCGAGTCCATTGCACCTTATTGCATATTGTGATGCAGATTGGGCCGGATGTCCAGCCACAAGACGTTCCACAACCGGATTCTTCATTTGCCTTGGGAATTCCCTTGTTTCATGGAAATCGAAGAAACAAGTCACAGTATCTAGATCATCGGCTGAAGCGGAGTACCGCGCAATGGCTGCCACTGCCAGTGAACTGAGTTGGTTAAAGACATTACTATGTGATCTTCAAGTTTCTCACTCAAAGCCAATGACACTTTACTGTGACAATCGAGCAGCTCTGCATATTGCCAATAATCCTGTATTCCATGAACGAACAAAGCATATAGAGATTGATTGCCATTTTGTTCGTGAACGTATACAACGGAAAGACATCCTTACTGCACATATTTCCTCACAGGAACAGCCAGCAGACATCTTTACCAAAGCCTTAGGCCGTGATCGCTTCCTTCATCTATTATGCAAGTTGGGAATTCGCGACCTTCATTCTCCAACTTGAGGGGGAGTGTAGGAGATCATCACGGAGAAAATCAAGCTTGTTGACAGAAAAGCAATCAATCATTATGATAGATTTATTCCTTTGCTTTCTTGATTTGTATTTCCTTCTATATAAGAATAGTTTTAGGCTAAACTTTTGTCATTAACTTCCATATAAGCAATGTATTATGTATAGAGAAATATATAGCTTTCATCCAATTATGTTCTTCTAATTCTCTAGATTTTTCAATTTTGGAGCCAAGAATCTGCGAAAGGCTTTGGGGCAGATTAATTCCCACTAAGATCAGTTGCTTCGGGTGGCGCCTTCTTCTTAATGGCCTCCCAACTAAAGTAGGACTTCTTAAAAGGGGCATCAAGCTGGAAGAGGTAGAAACAACATGCTGCATATGCAATAGGGATTCAGAGGATGAAAACCATCTGTTTGTCCAATGCCCAATGGTCCAAAGTCTGTGGATGAGATGCTATAAATGGTGGGGGATCTCTCTTTCACTTCCCAATTCAATTTCTACCCTCTATGATACTCACAACGTCGGGATCAAAAACCTGGTTAAGGCAAACGTGTGGTTTCTAATCTTCTTGGTGGTTGAATGGTCTATTTGGTTTTCAAGGAACTCAATAAACTATAACTCTCAACAATGGGATGAGGATGGAGTTTTTGATTTAATTCAAAGGAGGACTTTTGCTTGGATTAGGGGAAGATCCACCCACACTGTTTTCCCCTTTGCCCACTGGTGCAATTTCCCTAACCTATGTGTACAAGAAATTACAAAGTGTTAGGATTGTCTTGTACGCCTTAGTTCCTTTCTTGTTTTGTTATGATTTATCAGGAGCTTCCTTTGTTTCTTCTCCTATTTTTGTCATGGTCTAATAGGGGATCTGGTTGTTGTGTTTTTTTTTTTTTTTGGAGATTATGGGTGGAGTACTTCTTGTACTTCTTTATTTAATAAAATTTCTTTGTTTCATCAAAAAAACCTTCTAGCTACATATACTACATTAACATCTTGAAGTATGCAATAAAAAAAAAAAAATCTTGATGTAAAATTAACCATTATAATAGGGGTAAAAAAAGTTGATATAATGAGTTAGAATACCTTTTATATATATTTTTTATAAACTTAATATTTTGCTGACAAAGAAAAAAGGGGCGAAAAAGCTCGATCAATATATCTTGAGAGATTAATCCTAACAACTTATTGAGTCAATGCTCCATATATTATAAACAATTTAAGGGAACCTTGAAAATTTTCCACATCTAAAACCTGTGCTTGAAAATGTATCATCCTCCTTTTAATGAAATTGTTTTCAATCTAGAAGTTTCCGTCAAGGCCAACTACCTCTGTTTTGATTACAAGTGTTTGCTCAACATTGATTATTCTTTAAATACTTAAAAAAATATTTTTTTTGTATTTTTCAGTGTTTGATAACTCTTGAGAAAATAGGTCAATAAAAATTAGATTTTAATCAACGGAAAATACAATGAATAATCTATGAAAATATTTTTGGGGTTATGGATAGATTTTTATATATGGTGTCCACTTCAATTTTTGTTTGGAAAATCTCTAAAAGTGGATAATTTCAACTTCCGTTTTAAATTTTTTTTTAAAAACGAATTTTTTTTAGTTTGTCTTTAGAATCCAAGTTATTTTTTTTTTTATCATAAATACATTTAAAAATTTATAAAAACTAACATTAATTTTATTATTGATGTCAATTTAATTTGACAATTGATAAATTAAAAATCAACTTTTGTTTTTTAATACAAATTTGTTACCAAAAAATATATTTATTATAATCTTAAGGACACTGATTAAATAAATTCTTTAAAAAATCAGAAACTCTTTTAGGTTGCATTATTAGGCCAACTTTAATTTTTCAACAAGTTTTGGGAATTGAATCTAAAGTCTAGAACTGAAGTTATTAACTTACACCCACCTCCAGGCTTTAATTCAATTGCCTGTATACATGACCAGAACCTCATTTGAAATATCTTAAAACTACATGCAACGCAAGGGTGGCACCATTTAGGCCGAGACACTAGTTACTTGCCCTGTCAAACATAGAACCAAGAGCTTGAAGGGCCAGTTTCAAAACTAGCTTTGTCCATGCTTGTTTTGTGCTCTGTCCAGTTTCAATGGACCACAAAAATGATTCATCAAAGTTCATAGAATTCTTGATCATGATGGTGGACATCTATGTCCCTACATTTCTATTCTTGATATTATAAATGAAGATGAAGTAATGAGTTATTATTTGGTTAAATGTCAATTTCGTCCCTTAACTTTAAGATTTTACATAATTTTCATCCCTTAACTTTTTTTTTTACTTTTTTGGTCCTTTAACTATGAAAAATGCACTTTTTTAGTCTTCTATCAATTAATTCATTAAGTTTATATAAATCTATACATTTTTAGTCCCTCAACTTTAAGTTCAAGTTAAAAAATATGCATATATAAGAAGTTAAGGAACTAAAAAT